TATATGAATATGAGATAAATATGAATAGACTGGATGTTGAAAATATCGTATTTTAAAATACCTATTAAATATTTGATCCTTCCCTCGAATGTATTTTTAATAACAAAATATACTTGACAAAAAATTAACTAATTTTAACTATATGATAAGAATTACTGAAAACGGTCGCAAATAAATTATATACCAATTACTATGTATATAACAATTAAATAATAATATGAATTGCAAATAAATAAGTTTGAGGATCGTTTTTATGTCAAAAACATATAAAATAAGCTCGTTCAGGATGTGTCACGCATAGTTTTATAGTGACAAAATAGTGTTTGATAGCTTAAGCAATAATATACAGGGTGTCCCATAAATCAACGTCAATCCGAAGCTGGATAGGGCAGCAGTTAAGCCCCGGATATTAATATAAAAATTTAGTCACGTATTTTTAATATTATTGCAATTAGAGAATAATAATGAATTATGTTGAAATAAACTATTAAATCTTGGCAATTGACATAAAAGGATAGTGCATTGAGTTTGTATTCCAAAGTTGTATTAATAATTATTTTGGACTCAGCCACTACCTGGCCTATGACCTTCGGCTCGACACTGATTTATGGGAAACAATTGTGCAAATATAGCATGAACGTCCTTCTAGATATATATGTTCACGATTCACCTAATAAAGATTAGTTCACTCAAGACGACCCTTCATTACTAGGCCGCCTCGAACCTTCTACTTTAAGGTCAAGTAGGGTTATAGATAAGGAACCAATAGTGCAGTGGTAAAATCTTATCTGAAAGATAAAAAAAGTTTACTTAAAAAATGTTAACAGATTAATTATTACACATGAATTATTTATTATTAGATTAATGTTTACACATTTTAATCACAAAGATTTTTTTTGCATATCGTACTTCACGATATATTTTTTAAGAATTAGGCTAAGAATATTATAAATATATATTTGTGTGTAATTTTTATTATTACTATGACGAAACCGGTCATTATGCCATATAAATAACTCTGTATAACTATAATAGTAGTACGAGTACTAAAAAACATTTATTACAATATATTTACGCCTATTTCTTACGAAGTATACTTAATTAAAATAAAGCTTCGTAAATACTGTTGATACCCATAAAAAATAATGTAAACAGACAACCTTAAAAAGCATTATTATATCCGACCTTCCCAATAGTTTAGGGTCACCGCAGACAAGCGAAGGGTACATAATTACCATAATCATGCCATTAAGGTTCCCTGGGTCATGAATATTTATTATATAGGAGCTTCTTTGAATGAATAGCTGAAGAAAAGTCATTAATGAAAACCGTTGTTTTTAAGTTTCTATCTAACATGGAAGGCAACTTATTTGATAATACACTTTTAAGGTTTATATATTACACAATTTAATTAAACCTATCTGTTCTTATTCCATGTATTTGTTTCACTTTATTGAAACATGAAACTTTATATTTGAAACGATCATTGTTTTCTTCATTCATAACAATAACGTCTTTCATAATAGAGAACTAATAAAATTTAAAATTCAATATTAATATGACGTTGTAACGCGGGTATTTAAAGAAAATAAATTAAAAAATCATAATATTGGTTATAGTTATATGCTCTATGGGTCGAATTTTATACTACGGCCAGTCTCCGTTTTAACTCTTCATGTGTATCCAAAATCTATTAAGTAAGATTATTTAATCATACGGCATACTTGAAACTTGCAGCTTGCGGTGCCTACTTATTCATTAAATATATTTTGCACGATTATCTTTTCTAACAGAAAGGTAATAGAGAAGCTTTGAGGCGTAGAGGCGTAGGGTACGGCGTAGCATTGAGCTACGACATAAAGGAACAATGCTAGCAAAACGACCATTGTGCACTAATTAAAAAAAGTCTTTAGATACAGCGTTTCGTTTCATTAATCAATAGTTAATAGTTTTCGTTTGTTTTTGTCTTAGTGAACTGAAGCCTTGAGCCAATTACTAAAACTAGTAACACGCGATCACCGCGATATCATGTTAGCTTAGCTAATCTCTCTCAAACGTGTGTTCATACGTTCCATCGGTGACAGTCTACCAATGCAATGCGAAATTTATATTTATCTTAGATGGCTCAATTATATCGTGGGGAAACCAGCATTTCTCAGAAAAATGACAGAAGATGGAGGCAGAAGGCTAATCGGTTAATAAAAACTTATCAATTTGAGGTTGAAATTGTCTCTGCCACATGCCTGGATGAGGGGCAACGGCACGGACAACGGTTAATAATCTATAAGTGACAGTTGAAACGTAAATTACCTTAAATTAATTAACGTAAACCATTAATTACTTATCTGGAACATATTTTTCTGTATTTTTGGTTACCCACTATGGTTACGTATACGTCAATATAACAGTATTGGTTTTCTATCAATCGAAATTCCACGTGAAACTGTCAAAAATTTAGTCCACTATCAGTTAGTCTACTTTTTCAATGGAATAGCAATCATCAATTCTCTTCAATAGAGATTGAATGACTGTTATCTGTATAAAATCGGGCGCCATGGTATTGAATGCAGATTTTTTAAACTCATATAAATGAGTTTAAAAAATATGTATGATTTAGAATATTTAAAAAAAATGTGGAATAAAAGTTCGTTTGAATATATTTTCGTAGTTTCATCAATTAGTTTAATCAATTATTATTTAAACAAAAACTATCGGTTTTTTATTAAGTATTAGGGTAGGTTCGATAATGTGATAAAATAAAAACTTCCCAAAGGCGGTTTTTATGATTCACATTTGAATTTGCACACTTATATACCGTCATGTATAACATCAACACTCTTAGCAACATAAGACAAAATACACCCTTCAGAACAAAATCCAAGGAAACCAGTGACGCAATGTTCCGTAGTCATTTCCTACAGGCGGGAATACTTTCCTCTGCGGATGTGCGTATACGAACTTAAGAATATTGTTATGTTTATTCCATATGTATATAGACAATAAAGTTTTGTTAAATATTTTCCTTTTGGTGTCTTTTACCTACGTTCAGATAGGGTCTTCGGCATTATAATAATATAAAACTTAATGATAAACTTAAAATCCACAATCATCTTAACCTTAATAGCTTTATAGTCCAGAATTAAAATCATTCCTTTGTAACTTACTTGTAAATTGCGATTACTTTACTTATAGACCGTATCACAATATCCTAATAACTATATGTGCTTAGTTTGATAATGTTTTATTTAGTATTATTTATAAAATATGAAAAGTTATGAACTTAATAGAGGGATCAAAATAAACCTCTCATATAATTAATAGTAATCAATATCAGCTGTTTAGAAGTTGAATACGAAAGAATATTTTAAGATGAAAATGATCTTCCAATTCATAAAAAAATTATCAAAGCATTTCTTTTCAATTTCGATGTGATTTTAAGTCATTTCACGCCAAACGTCTTCTCGCCATAAAATGTCCACAAAGGAAGAAAATATTTTCTTTTCAATTTTGTTTTAATTAGACTCATTCATTTTTAATGTAACGCTATACTTTGGTATAATACAAAATATTAAATTTTAATTCAGGCGATTTTCATCCTTATTTCTTACAGTTACGGTTGATATTAGTATAGAATGTGTCTTAAAAAGGACTTTTTCAAGTATTGCTTATAATGAAGGACTTTTTCATTAATGAGATCTCGAAAGAAAATTGTAATATTTACTAGACTGGAGCAAACTTTGGATTCCAACAAAAATAATTTATTTTTAATCTTAAGTATTCTACAATGGAATTAATATTCTTACAATGGAAATAAATTTAACAAGCCTTTTACTTTATACAGCCTTCTAAGAAGGTTATAATTTCATTTTCTTAAGAAATTTGTATTATTTTCATGCCTTAATCAATCCTCCATTTAAAATTAAAAACTGCATCTTAGCCATTTAATTTTATAAGATTACTAGTGGACCCCACAGACGTTGTCCTGCATGATATTTAAAGCGATTAGAATATTAAGCAAAGTATGAAAGTACCGACTGCAGTGCCATCTGCCGGGCTGATTTGTGAATCTAAACCATTCCCAGATCCCCTTGAACACACACAAAAAATTTCATCAAAATCGGTCCAGTCGTTTGAGAGAAGTTCCGTGACATACACACTCACAGAAGAATTATATATAAGATTATATAATATAATTTTGAACCCATTCTTCCTGTACGGACCTGACGGGTATTTAGGGCAGTTGATCAGCCCTTTGTTTACTAATCGGAAACGAGTATTGTTTGGTCAGGCACCTATTTACACCATTTGTCACTAAGTTATATAGCTTGGCTGTTCTGAATCGGCAGTAAGTAATTATCTGTAAAAACCATAATCGTCGAAAGGCTTGCAACAAATTTTCACGCAAAATATACAACTACACAAAACATATTAGCATACATATATTATAAATTCAAATTCAAAAATCATATAATCATATAGTATATAAACACATTGTACACTTACGATCGTCAAAAAAAAGAAATGTATATGAAATGCTTCTAACTTTACATTTAGTGCCAGTTCTCAAATCAAGGGAGTAAAACGGAAGAGAAGAACTGGCAATAATCTCTCCGCCACTCTTTTTAATCGCCATGTTTTTTTACACGTCTGTAAGGAGCTGCAACTATTACAACATGTTCCACGTGACATCTTAATCAAAACATATAGCCTCATGTTTTATATACCTCTGTTTTTGTTACCTTATTAATCTCCTTACAAAAGACATTTTATTTAAAAAATTTGAAACATCTTTCATGAAAATTAAGAATGTAAAGAAATATAAACTTTATTATTTTGTCATTTGTAGACAAGACAAAGGGAACGATACATGTTTGTTTGGAATCGAATCGACCAACCGAGAAATTGACTAGAGATAGAATATAAGAATAGCCTGATCAAAGTGTTATTTCACCCAGATGTTCCCAGGAAAAGGTTAACAAATTCTAGTTTCAACAGGGTTTTTAAGAAACCACAAGTGCAAAGTATAAATAAATCTGCTTCGGACTAAATTGCTTGTTTAATGTTAAAATAATAATATATCTTTGATTTAAGGTTCTATGTCCAGGTGGGGCTGAGGGCATCCAGCGTAGAACATCAGTCTGATCATCCTGATCATCCGTAGGCAGCCCTTTTAACTTCACTCCATGTCTTTCCATCTTCCTTCCCCTCAGCAATGATGCCTCCTTACCAGGTCTGTTCTGCCATGAGGATTCCAGTGGAGACCTTGCTTGGATATGGGTCGGATCCGTCCGGAGCATGCCACCGATTATTATTATTGAGATTAATTATTTAAAAAAATATCTTCTTGAAAAAATATAATCGATTCTTATGATGAAACTCCTTATGAAACTCCTCCGAAACGGCTTGACCGATTCTCATGAAATTTTGTGTGCATATTGGGTATGTTTGAGAATCGGATAACATCTATTTTTCATCCCCCTAAATGTTAAGGGTACAGTCCAGTCCACCCCTAAATTATTAATTTTGAATTCTTAGATAAATTTTTATTTTTTAATTTTTTCATGATACGACATTAAAAAATACATACAACCCTTAATTTTCACCCCTCTACGATCAACCCCTATTTTTTATTATAAATGATATACATGGCAAAACGACATTTGCCGGACCAGCCCTTGAATTTATAAAAGTAATGTTCATTAAAACTTAGTTTCTATATTCGTAAGAATGTATTGAACAGTTTTTCACCGAAGAGTTCGCCGTGAACGGTGGCGGTGCAAACTGTTTAGCCTTTTTGGCCACGGGGCTTTTGGACACTATTTACACAGACTCAAACTGAAGACAAGCCCCGCGTGTGACTGTGACGACAGAACCGACCAAACGGTGGTTCATTTACTTGTCGACTGTGCGAATTTTGGAAGGGCCAGGTGCGATCTGGAACTCGAGACTGGCATGAGGGTATTCCGGGATGGGCTATCCGACATGTTGCTTGAGCACAGATCGCAGCTGGAAAAATTCTGCGACAAGATTGTCAGATATGTCACTCACAAAAATAGCACGAGAGGTAACGCGGGTGTCGCCGGGCAGCGGGCCCCGACTCACCTATAAATAGACAATAATGTCCCTTTTTAAGAAAGGGGAGATTCTGACACTCCCTGCTGCTTGGCCACTCGGTCACAAATCTGCCTGATTGCGTGGCTGATAGGCTAGGATGTAGGGGTCCCTGTATAAAAAAAAAAAATAAATAAACTGTTTAGCCAAATAAACCAAAATAAATATCTCTAATAAATATTGCATCCTAAATTTATTTTAATTACCTTAATCTCTGCTAAGTGCGAATATAAAAAATATAACTCTTTAGATGTTCAGTAGCTAAATTTTCAATAGGTAATCTAATTTACCGGTACGGCGCGCTCGGTATTTTCACGCTTTTATTTTTACTCGGAAAATCGTGGAGGGGTGTCGTTGGCTTTATATTAATAATGGTAATGGCTGTAACGAATTTCAAAAGGATTTTCATCTTTATGCGACGTGCGAGATAAGCTGAGGTTTTATTTTCGAGAAATTGGTATAAGAGGACTCATTAGCATTATATATTAAAAATATGTGTTTAAATCGTACGAATAAAAATTAAAACAATATAAAACAAAAACCGAAATTTGTTGCAGGAAACATTGTGTTTTCTGTACGAGTGTATTAAATTTTAAAATCCTATTGTATTCAGTTAAAACACGTTGTCACAATAACATAATGGTTAATTTCAGTACCTTTAGTATCCCCTCACACTTATTTTTGTGTTACCAACAATATAGTGTGTCGAACCGAAGATTCCTAAATATTTGGCAAAATATCGCACATGTCTGTTAACTTTCATTCCACTGTCCAAATATTGTTTGGATGAGGCGTATGAATTAAAAGCATTTATATCTATCTACCTTTATATACTAATGCTAGCTTTATACTAACCTTTATATACTACGAGTAACGACGCTTGCCGGGCCAGCTAGTCTTTATATAGAAATTGTTATTTGTCAAATTATTGTGACAGTTTTCTCCTAACCACGATTACTAAACCCACTCAAAATGTCGAGTTATGTTAATAATGTAATAAATTCGCGTTTACGCTTGTTACTGCTTAACTAAGATACGTACAGTATTTTTTTGCAATACAACATAAGTTATTTTATTTATGAAAACAAACAACAAAAAACACCAGCAATTTTATACCGTTTATTTGCAGTCAAAAGTTAAACCAGTTATAAAATATTGTTGTATAACAAACTCTATAGGATTTGATGGAATTTTTAAGTATTTATCAACGTCAGGGCTTCATGAATATTTATGGCGAGTCACAAAGTGCATGAAAAGCAAACTATGGAAATATTCAACATAACGTGATACTTTGCATAGTCCGGGATCCTATATTACTAAGGAACTTAGCCTTTAGCTCGCATCTACACGACCAAAATATTTTAGTTTGTTTAAGGTTTAATTTACTAAAGGTTTAATTCTTAATATAAGCCTCAGTTAACTTAAGGCGATTAACCCTCAGAAATGGTTGTGGTCAATTCATAACAAAACTAGGCTTGAATACGGCCACAATGCCTTTATAAATCTCTACTTATAATATTATAAAGAGGAAATATTTGTATGTTAGTATGTGTGTAACGAAATGACTCAAAAAGAACTGGACCGATTTTAAAAATTCTTTCACCATTTGAATGCTATATTATCACTGATTAATATAGGTTTAATTGCAAGAAAAACCATAAGGATCCTTACTAAAACTATAATAATGTTAGCTAAGATGTTAAAAAAATGCCTATAAAATATCTTTCATGGCTTGCGTTGCGAAAACTGAAAGAACAAAAAAATGTTCCACAAATATAATAAGAACATATAATATCTACAAAAAAATGTTTAAAAAATAAATGTCCACTCGTGCGAAGCTGGGACGGGCTGCTAGTCATATTATAATTCACGTAATTTATTTGGAGTTTATGGGATGTTAATTTAAAGAAATTTATTTACATAAATTGAAACGTGAGTTTTGAAACTAAATTAAACAAAAAAAAGCCAAACCGCCCAAATCGTGCCCCAAGCTGATTGACTCCGAAAAAGTTACTTGTGAGTGTTTGGTGGGCTAGTGCCGGGGTTGTTATATATCTCTATAACTTTCTTAAATCTGGCCAGACGGTTACGGCAGATGTCTATTGTCAGCAACTGCAAACTGTGATGGAAAAGCTAGCTGCTAAACAACCAAGGCTGGTCAATTGCTCTAGGCCACTGCTGCTTCACGACAACGCTAGACCACACACTGCACAACAGACTGCTACAAAATTAGAAGAGGATTGGAATGTCAAAGACATCCACCGTACTCCCCGGACCACACTCCAACAGATTACCATTCTTTTCAAATTTGGATAACTTCTTGCGAGGTAAAAAATTCAACTCTGATTCCAATCAAATCACCTTCAAAGATTTTATTGATTCACGTCCGAATGTTTTTTTTAGTAAAGGGATCATTTAACTACCTGCAAAGATGGCAATGGTACATATAAATATAATCTATTAAAAAAAAACTACTTTTGTTCCTCTCATATAAAACGCCAATTTCATATGTAAAAATCTATAATGTTATAGATTTTGGTATGGTGTTTTGAAGTCCATACAAGAAAACCTTTAATCACCATTACCAAAACTGAGTTTTCTAAGCGAAAATCAATTACACCTTCGTCAAGGCTTAATGAATATATTCAGCCCTTACCTAGGTGAGAGAATTGGTATTTAATAGTTGGTTTGATGTACCCTTGAATAATTCATAGGGACCCGGATCTTTAATTATCATCTAATTGAAATATTAAGTGAGGAAAGTTGGCTTAATATTCATGGGAAAGTTTGTGAAAAGGTAATTAATTTGATTGTCAGTGATTTGAGATTAATGCGCCTTTGAGGACGATATTATTATTTGTTTGTTTTTTAAATTTGGAGTTTTTATTTTATTTATATACATCTATTTTTTGTATAGTAAATAGTCCATAAAAATATGTATTTATGTGAATGTAGAACTGCTTCGTAAAATGTAGTTATTAATGGTGTTAAGTGGTCATAACTTAATATCAATAATATAAATAATAAAATTGATATTTATATTATATTGATATAATAAGACGAAGAACAAAAGTTATAGATGCCTTACATTATGCCCTAAAGCAGAAGTGGCAATGGGCGGGGCATATAGCAAGATACACCGATGATTGGTGGACCTTAATGACAACTGTATGGAAAGGACCAAGAGGAAGAAGAAGAAGAGGTCGCCCAAAAAAAAGGTGGATGGAAGAAATAGAAGCGATAGCAGGAAACGAATGGAGAAAGAGAGCCATAGACAGAGTCAATTGGAGGAGGCGTCAATTCAAAATCTGGAGGAGGCCTTTACCCGTGGAGGGGTTCCGATCGACGGTACTCAAGGAAGCTAGAATATAGAATAACAAGCAAAAGAAAAAAAAATATGTATAAAATGTAAAATAATCTAAGCTGTGTATTATAATTTGTTTTTGTCATGATTGGAAATAAAACGGGCTTTATTATTATTATTATACATATTATTATTAAGTGGTCATAAGCGACGTTTCAACTTCTTCATTGCCCATGATTTTTATTGTATAAATACAATACTTTATTTAAAATATAAATTATTATTTTTGTTATTATAAACGCCTCGCAAATAGGCTGTAAGTATCAGATATGGATCGCAAATAATGTTTTATTTTCAATTTGGCGCAATGAAAATGAAATCCTACAGCCATATAAGCATACGTTTATTATTGAGTCATAGATAGAAATAATCGTTTTCCACATGTGACTTGCTTTCATGATAACAATAAATACCAAAATAAATTGTCTTATTCTATTTCAATTTGAGAACAATTTCTTAACAAACTTCAGAAACATTCTCCAACTCTCCTTGTAAAGTTATTTGTTACTGTCAATTTTGTAAATTGCCTATAAATAAGACGCCGACATTTTTGAATTAACATAGATTATTTTCATTTTAGAGACTCATTAGTATTAAAAGGTAGACGTTGAAACTTTTGTGCTTGTGAAAATGTTTGTGAATGTAAAGTATATAACACAATTGTGTAAATGTGGGCGTTGAGGTAAATTTATAATCTTAATTACTAAATTAAGTTTTATCTCTTATTAAAACAAAATATTCCATATTCATAATTTAAGTCACGCAATACAAATTAAACATAGGTTCGATTCCCGGCAATATTATAATTAGAAAACTTTGTGA